CCGCTAACGAAAATCGTGAAAAGTCTATCTACACCCACCTCACCTGCGCCACCGACACTCAACAAGTGCAATTCGTTCTTGATAGCGTCTTGGACACGATACTGTCGTCGAAACGTAAAGGATGTGGGCTTTATAAGTAACGATCCTGTCTGTGGAACGCTGGGATGTTCCTCTTCTACGGGGTCAAATCAAGGCCTTTAAGGCGAGGAACTAAGATCGATTTGTCACTTATCTTCACTACCGCGAAACCTTAACCAACTTAGGGATGTCGTTCAGTGACGTAAATTCCAAGCGGACCTCCTTATGCAGTGCATCGGGTGTAACGAGTAGCAATAGCTACGGAACGGAAATCCTGGGCGCATGCGCAGAAAATGCTTCCAATGGGCACTTTTGTGTCTTTGTCGATGGCTCTTCTACTGTGTTCGATCTTGAGCGTCTGGGGAATATTATTTAACAAAATACAGGGTGTTAAGCGTTACCTCTCAGTCGCGGAGAAGTAGATGCTGCAAGCGGATAACCTACGCCGCACCCGCTCTGTACCATTTTCGTGGTTTCACACGAATTAACGAAGGCGCTACGGCTCTCGTGAGTGGCGGTTCCTGTGCCTCCCTAGTTGCTCCGCCCACCACTTCAAAGGCTGTTTCCTGCCGCGAGTCCAGTTCTTGCACCGTGGCTTTCGTTTTTTTTTACATTATGAGATGGTGTTAGCATTGGATGACGCGAAAAAAACGACTAGTGAGCCAGTGGAGGCAGGATATCGCTTTCCAGGCACGAAAGGACCAGTTCTAGAGAACTCGTCCAAAGGGGCTGCCACGTCCTTACTTAGGATGTAAGATGTTAAGATTCTTCATGATTTTTTTATTGCATTGTTCTTCCCTGAAGAGCCACTTCGCGACTGTAGGCTCGTAACTGAGCGCCAATATCCGCAACATGCAATCGCGGGGTTTATGATAATCATGGTGAGTCAACTCTGTCTAAGAACTCAATCCGCTGCGATACCGCGACTAGGAGGTGACGCGCCACATCTCAAAATTCACAGGTACTTTATTAGCATCTCAGGTTGGGAGTGTAATAAGCTTTTGTTACCATGGCTGCTTCTCTGTGAATAGAATTTCGTGGCGCTTGAGCGCTAGACTCGAGTATTAAACTCTGTTTGTCGTCCACCTGTCGAACAGTACGAAAACGCACGAAAATATTAGGTTGTATCGACAGGAAGAATCGCCGAATTGGTGAAAAGAGGTACGGTCCTCA